GCAGGCAGGCAGGCAGGCAGGCAGGCAGGCAGGCAGGCAGGCAAACAGGCAAGCAGGCAAGCAGGCAAGCAAGCAAGCAAGCAAACTAGAAGACTGAGTTGTCATGATGTGAAGACACAAATCCACCAATCTGGCTGTCGCAACAATCAGCATTGGTCACCATGGTATAAGTATCGCTATGTAGACACTGCATATTTAATAGCGCCATTATAGGAGGTGTTTAGTGCCTGTGCACTCATAGGCCTGTAGATGGCTATCAGGTGGAGGGTCCACCATCAGCCAAGTAGCTTCCAAAAGAAGAGCGCTCTTCAGCCCACGGCAGTGATTTTGTCTTTCACAGTGCATGAAAAATCGCCTCGCATGACTCCCAAGACATATCCCCCAGGTTCTGAGTCAGAAGAGTCGGTTTCCTGGACAAGATGTCCCACCCTGATCCCACATCGTGGGATTTGCAGAAGGACTTTGCATGATTTCACCTGCTTGAACTTCAGCTGCTGTCAGCTCAGCTTCGCAGCTTCGCACCACTTGGAACATCAAGACGATGTACCACTGGTGCTTGCTATGGCTGGGCATTTGTCTCACCCGCGTCGAGGGTGCCGAGCAGAAGATCTTCTGGGTGGACGACTTGATTGATCCGACCAAGGCCCTGACCCGAGCTCTTTTTAAATCGGGAAGAGCTTGTCAGACTTTAAGAGCATCCACAGTGGTTTTTTCATGGTGTTTACAGGTTTTTAGTTGTGTTTTTTGTGTTTTTCATCGGATAGAACTGGTCAAAATCGACCAACTTCCGCATCCCAGCGAAGCTTCTGCTGGTGCAACGGGTGGTTTTCCCTGTGCACGGGTGCAGCTTGTGACGTCACGTGACCAAACACGGGAGCCAAACACCTGGGATGGCGCACCGTCTCTGAAGGACAGCCTCCGGGCATGACATGAGCCTGACTGACAGCCTCCCCAGCACAGCATACCGCAGTCGGAGTCAGGATTCCAAGCAGTCGGTCAATTCACAGCATGGTATATACTGTATACATCTGCATACGGCCTTTTTGTTGTGGGATCCACCTGAATCAGGTCTCGTTCGATTTCGTCTCCTCCCCGAAACTCGGGAATTCCAACGATCGTCTCCGCTGAAGTTCCGTCTCCGCACTTCCTTTGGCTCGCCGAATCGCCCCAGTCGAATTCCTCGGGACCCCACGAAATCAGAGCGACCCACGCGACAATGGTCCGTGGGACCTGGCATATGATCATTGACCTGGGGGTGGTTGACCTCAAGGTCAATAGGTCAATATTCCAGTTGCATTGAGTGTTTGGGGTCTGGTATATCCCCAAAAAGGCCCCCGACCACGTACCGACGACTGCCATGTGTTTTGGCATCGCTGGGACTCGGGACCTGCACGGTTTCCCAAGAGCGCCGTGACGAGTCCGCGCGCAGGTGGAATCCAAGTTGTGGATGAAGACCGGTGAGGATGCGCCATTCGGATCCCGTAAGGTCCGTTATGACGACTTCGACTATTGCTTGGAAGCCTATGGCGACTTGGAGAAGGTATTTTAGGACGGAGGACCCCACCAACCGATGTTCCGAACCTTTCACGGGTCAAACTTGGGGCTTTCTCCCTATATTTAGATATATTTCTTGTCTAGACGGATGAATACACATCTGGTACCCGAACCAATGGAGTGGGCTGGAACCACAGTCGGGTTAGGTTCGCATCTGGAGGTGTCCGGTCCTATTTTTGTTGGGTGTCCCCTTGAGGAAGATGTTGGTTTCAAGGATTTTTTGGGTAGTTCCTCTTGCTTTTGATTCTGGAGGGAGTTGGAGGGGTTGTTGAATGTTGTTCTCTTTTTTTGTGAGCACTGAGGCATTTGGGGGTGAGGTGAAGGGAAGATTGTAGATTCGATCGCCCAGCTTCTTCGGCTGGACACTGACTAGTGACTAGGAAGACGTGCGCCTGTTTTCAGGAAACGGCAGAAACTACACACCTTCGGAAATTCTCGGGCGCGCGGCGAGCAGCCTGATACTTTCGCTCTTTAAGTGAGCTAGGGTGAATGTGATCAGATTTAGACTTGGTTAATTTTTCTTGGATTTAACCTACCCGAATAGAATAGCCAGGTGGCAGGGGATTGAGGTAATATACCATAAAGCCACTGACGACACTGGCAAAAGCCAGAATCAGCCCCAAATCAACCCAAACCCACCTTCCCTTATCCACGCCCAGCGCCCAAGGGTCCGCACCGATGGGCTCAGCTCATAGCTGACGCCCCGCGAACCGATGACCAAGGCACTTTGAATCCCACGATCTGCAAGCCGCCGCGACCTTAGCCGCAGTCCTCACAGCATCTCACAGCAGTAGGGTGAGGCGCTGTTTTGGCCAGGTTTCGTCAGAAAAAAGGGTGGCCACACGCAAGAGGCATAAAAGGCCTATTTCTTTGGTTTCAAGATGCTTCAAGGTGATGGAGTTAAGAGCTTTGGCTCCTGCCACATATGAATTCAGCGGCTGCATGCGCCGGCATGCTGCTGCCTTGTGCAAGTCTGCTAGCAGATAGGGTGAGATTTGTTTGCACACCAGCGGCTTGCGCAAAAGAACTTGTGAGCATTCTCAAGGTCGTACTTGATCAACGGATGGAATACTACGGATGCTGGGATGGCATGGCACGGTCCCAATTGTCACCTCTCCCATCCGTCCTTCTTTCCCAGCCGTCGCTACAATGATCACACATGATCACACCTAATTAGAAGGATCCCCAATCCAGGCAGTCCCAGAGTCAACCAGCTATATCCTGGATTCCAACAACCAGTATTTTAATGGTCTTATCAAAGAAATTTTCTGTTGTACTTTTAGACTATAACACCAGGTCAACCAGTTTCCCCAAACAGTGTGGTAACAGTAGCAACTCTTACGGTAATAGTTAAGGCCGGGGTTTGACCGGAGTGGTGCGTCAGGCGGTCCGGCTAATTCGTTGCTATTTACAGAGTATATACATTCAGAGATCTTCGAAGTTCATATCGAGTGCGGAGGCTCGCAGAATCTGGTGGGCTGGCACGGGTGCTGTTCGAGACCGTGCTCTCGTTGTGATGCCGTGCAGATTCTCGGGCTTGGTGATCGCTTTTTGTGGCAGGCACAGGGAACACCTCGTGTTTTGGTGGTCCAGAGTCGACTTTTCGTGACAGGTGCAGGAGATCGGAGCGGTTTTACCTCGACGTGCGAATTTTGTGGAAGGCTCAGTATTTTGGACATGGTGGTGGTCTTCGGCGTGCTCTGATTCCGTGGCAGGTGCGGTGAATCGTGACCTTTGGGTGTGGCTCGTTTTCAGAAATTGGAGGATGTCTCGAGTGGAAGCTGCGTTTTGGATCTGGACATACAGGAATACAAAATTTTGCTCTTCAGTCAACTCAGCGGCTGTTATGCTGTTCAACATGTTAAGGAAAACCATTTACAAAAGAATATCATCAAGCATAACACAGCTGATGGTTGGCCACTGGTGTTCAATCGACGTGTCTCCCCTATGGATCACTGCGGCAGCGAACGCACACAACACAAGACTACAAATCCCGGCCTACTGCTCGCAATACTCACTGGCTCGCAATACTCACTGGCACATTTATTGTGAATGCCACGCGAAGGTTTCAATATGCCAAGGTAACTGCCGCATAAAGAAACTCCTTTGAGTTGCCGTTGGCGCCACCAGCAATCAATCAGACATAATTAACCACTGTTGGGGCGGGACTTCGGGAGGGCGCGCACAAATCAAGGGCAAGTAGCTGCAGCCGCATTCGACAACTGCCGCTGGAGTTCTTCGATTTCTCGCATGCGACGGTCATGCTCTTGCATAGCATAGCGTCCTGAGGGTGCCGAATCAGATGGTTCCTGATGGTCTTGGAAGGTTCTACCAAACAGATAGGTAGCAGTAGGTTGCAGAAAACAGCAACAAATAGAAACACCATCATTGATCACTGTCATAACTCGGCTTCTTTTTCACTCTTCATCAGCTCAATTACCACTATCACGCAGGCTTGTTAAGTCTGACCTGGGTGCAAAGACTGCACTAAATGTACACTGATCGCCATTGATCTATCAAAGTTATTTGCAAATATTTGCGATGCCACTACCTATTTAGATCAATTTATGGGCTTACGATCTTACGGCCATAAATGAATTGGCGGACATTGTCACAGGGGTCGTGGTTGGTTGGCTTCTGGTTGTCATTTCAATTTTTAGGTACACTTAAATTGCTGTGCCTAGATGGTTGGGATTTTTTCAAGATTGCCAGTTGCCTTCCATCAGATCGACTTACGCTGGGATTTTCTTATGCTCTCGATCCATTGAGAAGCCATTGAGATTTAGGCTGGCAACCATGGAAAGCGGGAAACCTTTTGAAGCTAAAATTTCAAACTTGAATGAGCACATTCCACAGGTTGTTGTTTTCCCAAATGCATTTGTTCGTATGCCAGTACGTGACAGTGGCATCCCTTTGGATGATTTTGATATGTGTTGCCACAAAGTCTGGATAAGTTGTAGGCGTTCTGGGGGGGACAAAATGTGACTTTGTCAAGTGCCCCCTGCTATCCATTTCAAGGCTTGATCTCGACCCGCCTCTTGCCCAGATCTCGCCCTGACTGGTTTGGAAGCATGGAAAACCATACTTGCGTTCCATGCAGACGTTTAGTTTCTAATAATCATTCGATCACAGTTGGTTCGGACTTTCTTTGCCTTAGACATGACCAGCCCTCATCGTTCATGGCCAACAACTTGTTTCCACCTCTCGATTCCAAAAGGTTCCCTGCTGCGAACTGCCAAATTTTGGCAAAACATGCTACCTGTGAACGCCTCAGACTACGCCATGCGATATATGGGCCACAAAGTCCTCAGGAATGCTCTTGTGCAATCTCTTTGCGCCAACAGTGCTGATCTCAGACGGGGCTTCGATCGTCAGCCTTGAGCCTGAGAACCTTCAAAGCCGGTAATGCTGATCGTTGCAGCTGAGGCCAGGTAAGAACTGCTTTGTGGCGCCTGAAGGAGGAGCAGCGTGCCAGAGACTCCAAGTCGCACGTTTCAAGATTTCTCGTAATTTGTTGCAAGCTTTGGAAAGCGTGCAGGATCCAGATGGCGAGAAGATTCAGAGAACCTGTCCTTCAGGCTTTCCCACGGGAAGGCGGCAAAGTGAAACATGAAGACGGTAGCAGACATGTTCTAGCAAATCGCCGAGGACTTTGTCACACTTCTGTCACGTTCAAGCTGAGGATTTGCAACAAATCCTTCGAGCGCTGATGCTTAATGAGTGTCAGCAGCAGGACTTGCAGGTAAGCTTGCGCGTGGGGCAAACCTGGTTGATGTTGCCAGCACTCATATGTTTTTTTCAAAGAGTAAGCCATGCATTCACATGGCAAGACTGCGGGCGGCTCATCAATTCATGTTATTTTATACATTGTGGAAATTCTAGATCTCATGCACGCATCCAAACCCGACTTCACAGAAGGGTTTTAGGGCAGCGAAAGGGGGGCTGCTCAGACAGCTCTTTGGCTGAAAACAAGTTGAAACGACGGCTGCAGTCTCTATGCTTGATCTGATACTACTTTAAAACAGCTGAAAGCTTATGCGGGGTAAGATACAATAGTCGCCTCTCTTCCTGGGTTGCAGCGTGTTAGTAACAACACCACCTGCCAGATAGTTATGTATAGGTACCCCAGAAGGCTTCTGCGCAAGCATTGAGCTCATCACAACACAAACTGCCTGCAGTCGGACCAAGTTTCTCTGTTTATTTTTTTCCTTCTTGCCTGCGTACTCTTTGCCATTCAGCATGCTGCGAACTTATGTGCAATCGGCTTCTGTTGAACGCGTTTGTGCTTCTGCAGTGAGGCCATGGTTTATGTTTATATGCGATGGGCCCCTATGTTGTGCTGCCATTGCCGTCCAACTTTCCAGGCACCTGCAAGCGTGTGCGCTTGTGTGATGCATGCTGTGCCATCTAAGGCGACAATCAACCTTAGGTGGAGAGAGCCCTTAGGTCAAGGTAAACAACCCTCAACCACACACGGCATTGTGCGCCCCGTGGAGGACATGGGCTTCGTTGTGTGGGGTGTGATTTCTGACGATGAAGAGGAGGCCGTCTGCACGAGTGCTGAGTCTTTTTGGTGCATCGTGTCGTGCGCCGATCTGAAGCAGGTCTGAACGATAGAGAAAACGGCTGACCAGGAGAGGCGCAAATCCAGCATGGTCGGCGTTAAGGCAAACCAAGACCCAAGCTTGCAGGACTACGCCGCCAGACCCGGAGCCCCAGGTGGTAGAGGCAAGTCGCAGCGGCAGTCACATCCCATACATAGGGCCTAGACACACACTGTTGCAAGTGCTCAAACCAAGATGATACCGCTGGAGTTGACGAGCTAACATGTCTAGTGGTTCAGGTTGCAGATTACGAAGTAGAAATTCTTGACCATGCTTTCAGGAGTTGCGCCAGATTACCCAAAGTTGCAATTAATTCCCGATTCTATGATCCGGATTTGTGCTTTCCCCTTTTTCGGCTGCAGCTCTTTGGCTGACTTCAACGTGGAAGCCGCGTTCCCTCTCTAGAAGGTTGCCTAAGGCAACCGACCCTTCAAAGCCTGAAGGGCCCCAGACAATCCCAGACAGCTTCAAATGCGAGATGTCACGATAGGAAAAGAGTATAAAAGAGCGTGCTTGGGGCGATTACATTTATGCCCTTCTGTTGATGGTAAATCTGGCAGACCACGCAGTCTGCTGAACATTTAAAATGACAAGGTGGGTTGGCCATCCTACAAATACAAGCTTAACATTGCAGCGCATCATCTTTGACGGCTGCAATCACTACAATTTGAAGGTGCTGTCGGTTTTGCATTTCATCTGTGTTGCCATACAGGCTTCCTGACCGAGAAACGGCGTTGCAACTCACAGTTTTTCGGCGCGAAGATGGCGGGTGTGCGCGCTCAGAGATCAAGCCTCAGGTGGAGCGCGTGGGAGGTTTTCCTCTGAAGCTGTGAAGGGAAAGCGCCAGTCGACTCGTCAACCTCCCTCATCGCCCTTCTAGGACCACCATGTAGGAAGGCAACAACCTGATGATGTCTGCTCAATCGTTCGTTGGAAACAGCGCTCAAAGGTCTTGCAGGTACAATGCATTTGTGAAAAAGTTGGCGATTGTCTGTCGAGTGGCCTGATTCAAGCCACTGTCCAGGGTACCTGTGATTTGCCCTACTTGGCAATCATGTCCTCCATACTCAATCAGAATGTTGGCAGCCGCTTAAGGCTCTTCTGTGAGGTTCTTCCAAGTCAGTGAGGTGCTTGGCCACTTTACGCAGCGGCACTCCTGACACGCGGGTAGATTCAGTGATGAGCCAACCGCAGAAGAGAAGAACCATAGAACTGTCGTTCGACTCAGCGTTCATGTCTCAGTAATGTGCCAAATTATTCTGAGTCGAGGATGTCGTTCAAGCGTCACACCATAAAAGCCACCGTGTCTCGCCGTGAAAACACCAGCGCTTGTGACGACTTGGGATGGATTCACGCTCCCATGGACAGAAGAGATGCTATCCAAGTTTGTGTTTGTGAAGTGGCATGTGGGCACCACCATCGCCACCACCACCATCGCCGCCACCGCCATCGCCACCATCATCAGCACCATCACCACCACCACCACCACCACCACCACCACCACCACCATCACCGGTACCGCCACCAGCACCAACACCATCATCATCACCGCCATCACCACCATCACCGGTACCACCATCATCATCATCATCACCACCACCACCACCATCACCACACTCTGGAACCCAATATGTCTAGATCTTTAGACCTTCTGCTTCTACACCTCTAGACTCTAGACCCTAGACCTTGAGATGCTCCATGATACACTGTTTGGGGTCTCTGGCCGGGGAATTTGAAAAGGTTTGGAAGGCTACGTTCAGAATTTCCCCCACCCCGAACATAGTGAAGTGGTGCTCACCTGTTTGGGATTCGATCGTGCCGCGCGAGACGAGCCGAGGATGGCGAATCGGTGGCACCACTCACGCAACTCTCAGTGGCTTATGACCCAGCTGGGGAAGGTGATGGTGACCTGGTCATCGCTTGACTGCTTGACCTTGGAACCCCTTTTTGGGGGTCACGCATTCAATCCAAAGGGTTTTGGTCAATGTTCCTTCTCCACGGGGGTCGAACTGGGAGGTCTTGCTATTTTAATAAACACACATCGTTTAGTCATGTCCGCCGTTTGGATTGGGACCCACTGTCCCATGGCAGACGTGCTTCTCTTCGATCTGTTTCTTTTTCGAATCGCCCCTTTTTTCACTCGCTGCGCTGATGCTTCCTGCTCCGAGGCGAGCATGTGGTGGGTCCAGCTGCAGATCGCACGCGGAGACAGATCTTTTACATCACCCCCACCTGTGCGAACACCTCAGCACGGCGCTTGACCGTTTGGAAGGCGGAACGGGGAGAACTCACTGACGTTTGTCTGATGTAGCACGAGGATGCATGAGACGACGAGCCATGGTCAGGTCATTTGATTTCCCATACAGGTTGCGTTCGATGAGCACTCAATATATTGGCTCACATTCGATTCACTTCGTCTCCAGCCAACAGACAACGACTGGGTGTTCGACGATTCCCAAAGCGACCGCTTAATTGGTCCGAACTTCCCGGTGACGGCGTGAATGCGTCAGTCGACTCGCATTGGTTCCCTGAAGGACGCCACTGGAGTCACCGTGGGTCTAAGAACCAACTGCTGGAAAGTCCTGTGGTTTTTCTTCAGTTTTGGTGTGAGGATGTGTGAGGTGTGAAGGCATGAGATTGGAGAAGGGCTGGTACGATCAGTGTGCTGCCTCTTGAAGGGACAAGTGTTTCTTCTCCCTTGCAAGAACATTCGGGCTTTTGAACTCACAAACTCTCAGATCCTTCGACTGTCCTGCAACTTTAGATGACTAACAGCGGAACCCCCCGAATCAGAGGAGGTTAGGGAAACTGATTTTCCACCCCCCCAAATAAAAAAGACATCAGAGCGTCGAACACAACACGAAAGCCCTCTCCGTGATACCACCCAACTGCATCGCAGTGTGTCTCGCTCATGAATTACGCCGCACCTACGGAAAACTCTATACCAACTCCCCCCCACCGGGCGCTCGTTTCTCCACCGCACAGGTGAAGTTCTTGTTGGACAACCAGATCGTGCCTGATGGGACCGTGGCAGATCCGTTGACCTGCGCCAACGAGTCCTACGTCTACGCGCTGAACCGCTACGAAGTGGACACCGGGAAGTTCTCGCTGATCTACGTGGCCAAGCGCGCGGACTTCCCGGCGCCTGAGAAGTGGACGGCTCCGCAGATGGAAAGATGGGGGGAGAGGTTGAAGAGGAGGCAAGAGCCAACAGAGGTTGAAGGACTCTTATATATATATATAAGTACCCCAGATGAGGGACCCCTTCTTTGGGACCCAAGTGGTGGCAACATGTGATGGGAGTGGGAGGAGGCAATTTTTTTATCTATTTTTCCATGTCAAGGCTTTTGGATGTGTCTCCATGAACCTTGAAAGTGAGATGGGACAGATGGTATCTTTTGACAAACAGTCTAAAGTGACACGAGAAGTTTGCCCACCTTGGAAAAAGATCTGGTTTGGCCATGTTTGGACCAAATTCCAATTCAAAAGGACCCTAGGCCCTGGGATTCAAACCACCATTGCTTCAAAGGTCTTTACCGAACAACCATTGTTTTACTACATTAAGGATTTTACACTGCAAAACCAGGTGAACCATTTTCAAAATGGTCTTTGAAGGCTAGGGGGATACTTGGTCGTGACTGCTGGAGTCAGGCTTACAGCTGGAAGTTGGCCGTGGACAGCACCCGTCAGCGCTTATACTGGTGGTACTATGCTGGCTCCTGTGCGGTAGCAGGTGACTACCGGGATGTTGGGGGAGCGAACAGTGGAACAAGATGGAACAAAGATTCTTTTGTGCTTTCTTGTGGGAGACTATACGGGCCATTTCCAGGACATCGGTGACATCCTCCAAACTGCAATCGGCAGTAAAAACTGCCCCAAGAAAAACGGGCCGACAACAGGTACCTGCGATGCGCCCTTGTACTATATCGATTTATCGACCTTGGCCGATGATGGCGCCATGCCCACACCCGTCTTGGCCGCGACGGTCAACGATGGCTATGGGCATGCCTCTTAGCTGGAACAATGGAGGAAGCGAAGAGCAGCACAGCGAAAAAGCACTCCTCAAAGGCGGCGGCTGATGCATGCTAACGTGGTATTTTTCTTGGGATCTTTGACATCAGCAATCATCAGCAGCTCCATAACACATTCATACACATTCAATGTGTATTACCATGTATTATATATCTTAATATAGTGATCTATAGTGATTACTATAATGTATTATCCTAGAATCTGAGTGACCCCTGTTGTGGAGCCAAAACATGTTCTTTTGCTCTCAAAACAGAGGTTCATTGGGTTCTGGGAATGTAACGCAGGCTTTCTGAAAACATCTGAAATAGCAAAGGGTAACTACTCAAAGCCATCCAAAACCGGCCTCGCATGGCCCCGCGCGCGAAACGCGCGACGGAGCCATCGCATCCGGGTGGAGTGGCACGGGGTTTGAAGGCCGGTTCCGGCCGGCCTTCGCTGATGAAGAGGCTCATATCCGTCATCCGACTCAGTACGTTGATCCGAGCATTTGGATCATTCAACATCTCATGGCTTCTTGTTCCTAGTAGTAAGGCACTTGTTACTAGTAGCGATGCACTTGTTCCTAGTAGCTTCTAATTTTACTCATTTCTTGTTTCATCTCAAATCAAAACCACTTGTGTCACAGTGTGTGCATCTGCACTTAATCAATCCAATGTGAGGCTTACTGGGATATGGCTGCTGATGACAGCGGGATGATCTACTTGGTGGATTGGTATAAGATACGCCACTTGATTTGCCATGTGAATGCTGACAGCAGTTTTGTAATTTTACTGGACCCAACACTTCTTGCCAACTATACAGACTTTTTCGTTAAACACATATCGAGGTGAACGTGCTAGATGTCAATCTCCAGAAGCTAGATGTCAAGTACCGACAGACATCCACAGCAATTGTCGGGATGTGACCCTCTCCGGTTCCTTTGGCTGTTGGCTTGGGGGAACCCCATCGACCCCTCCGGGATCGGAAGCACGCCATTTCGGTCTTTGGGTGCGAAGGTCTTGGAAACTCAAAACGACTTGGGCTTGTTACTAGTAGCTTCTTGTTACTACTAGTAAGGCACTTGTTACTACTAGTAAGGCACTTGTTTCTGCCAGGAGTCACAAAAGGGTGTGGCTCGTGCCATCCAGGGCCTTTTGAACCTCCATGGATAGCACCCAACTCCATGGAACTGGTGGTGGAAGTGTAAGTCTTTTTTTGATTTGGGATTTCACACACGAATCTTGCATGACACACTTTTTGGGAATCATCTTTGAGAGTGGAACTGACTGCATACGATCGCTCCGTGAGGCAAATACGATCCCACGACTCAGCAGTTGAGCACGCTGCACACCGAAGACTATTTGAACACTGGGTGGCAGTTCTACGGCGTCAGCCATTGGGGAGGCCAGTGGTAGAAAGGCCAAGCTTAACACAAAGGTTAGTGGGGGAAACCAGATTGTGCGAACACCAGGGTGACGAACAGCAGCCTTTGCAGGGTCGGGGTCAGTAGTATAAGTGGATGTTTGTGAGGTCAGGTCACGAAACACGTAGATCAATGTACATAATATATGATCTCCATTCACCGGAATCAACAACCTCTCGATTCTTGTTGCTTCTTCCGTTGGTGGGTATTTGTTGGGTGGTTCTGCCTACTTCGGCGCAGGGACCAGCAAGTTGGTCATCACCAAGACGAACACTGTGACGGAGCTGACCAACACGGTCATTGACGGAGCTTGTTGCTGCTTAGAATCCACCCTCAGGAATCCCATGTTGACTAAGAGATATGACTTCTAATTATTGTATATTATTGTTTTCTGGAAAAGAGACAGGGGAGGCGAAGCAGAACATGGAAACACCCACCCGATTTGGAGCCTCCCATTCTTGCAGCTTGGACCAAGAAAAAGCAGGCCGACTCTTCAGCTCTTAGGTGACCTCCAACGCTAACACGCTAACCTCGGTTCTCAGGTGACCTCCAAGTTGTGGATTTTTGACACCAGCGACTCCTCTTGGACAGAATTCTGGAGCGCCGTGCACTACGAGTTCTCCAACCTAGGCGCGGGGATTCGGGACCCGTTGGGTCGGCGCATGACCGGCCGCGGTCCGGACGGGTGTTGGGTGATCCACCCAACCGTTCGCCTCACACCGAATCCCGAGCAGTCGGCCTTTCGTCGGTTTTTTCCTGACCATACATGGCTAGCCTAGCCTTCGGACCAGGGCTCCAGCAACCCTCCACATCCAAGGGCTCTTACTGCTGTGCTATTCTATTTGAAGGTTTCTCCTCCAGGCCAAGCCCTTTGCGGCTAAGGCCAGAGCCTTGAAAATACCATATAATACCCATGCACAGAAAACCGTGTTTGAAATAACAGGTAGTGTTGTGAAAAACGGCCCCCGAATTTCAAGCCGATGTTCTTTCTGTCGCCAGATCATGTTATTTGTTATCCTTTGTCTGAGCCCAGCGACCTGTTACCCTCCTCACCCTGAAAGAGGCCAGACCATGTACAACCATGCCGTGGACGAGACCCACAACGTGCTTTACGTGGCCACCAGCGGCGGGAATTCGGCGGGTCGCTCCATCATTGAGCTACCGCTGTCGATCAGCGGCGCGTCGATGCCCTACAAGGTGCCGGGACGGAACGGGGAACGGAGTGCAGGTGCGGGTGGCGGTGCCAGGTGTGGGTTGTGTATGTTTCTTTTAATTGTATAAACTCTTGATGATAACAATACCATATATTATGAAGAGGTTTTGGCTGCGACGGGTACTTGTTTTCATCAACAAGATCCCTGAACACCGTATGTATCCCTGATACACGGACCAATATCGCCTCAAGACAGAAGGGCGTCCTTTGCCCCAAGGGCCTATAGTGAGCATTTCCCCGTTTGTCAGTTGACGAGCTCGTTGGATTTGCTGAATTCCTGGTGGAGGGTTGTTCAAACAAGTCTCCACAAGGGAGGTCCCGCTTTGATTCTTTTCGTGCTTCGTTTCGCATTTTCTCACATAGATTGGTGTGCTGCTGATGGACCTGTGTGTCCACAGTCACGCCTCAACAGGGAGTTGACCATTCTGAGACCAAATGTGCTGAACGTGTGGAGTTGCTAGGTCTTTTCTCTGCGCGTTTGAACAGCTGGTGGGAGCCTCATAGCCCAGACTATCCATGGGCATATTACATACCAACATTGACCCCTTTTCAACCACCCCAATGTAGGAATATGCCATATATTATATACATGGATGGTCTGGGTAGTAGAACGCACTCTCAGCCAGTTGCAGTTTACTAACCTGCTCTGAGTCTGCTCAGTGGTCGAATTCTTCGAGGCGACATGTCAGAAGCTCTCAAACGACAGCAAAACAACCAAAAAAGCAGTTTTGATACGTCGCATCGGACCAATCCACTGCCCCCGCCTCTCAAGCGCGGAATCGATCTTGAAAGCCGCAGGGATGTCTCCAGGGCACCTTCTCTCTTCACTGCCCTTTGTATGGCAATGGAGAGCGCCTGGTGGTGGGTGACAAGTGGCCTGACCGCAGTCAGCGCCAAGACATAGCTCCGAGAGTCAAGGCGACTCCGAAGTGAGCATGGGTAGGTGCCTGAGAATCCAAGTCACCTCTGCAATGTCATCACCCTTGTTCTGGTGTTGAAAAAGAAACACCAAACCAGGGACCATCTCGGCCAACTTGCGAACTTCCAGAAATACATCGTGCGAGTACAGGGGGTTAGGTCTTAGGGTACACAATCAACGTAAAGCCAAAGTGAAAGAACTTGCTGCTGCTGCTGCTCCTGCTGCTGGTTGTTGCTGCTGCTGCTGCCTGGTACACGCTGCTTGCTGCTGCTGCTGCTGCTGCTGCTGCATCAAATAGTGCCCCTGCTGCTCGTTTTAGACAAGGAATGCCAGTGAGCAAGAGATGCTGGAAATCTTGCAAGGCTCAAAAGCGAGACTTCCGGTAGCAAGCCCTGTAGAAGGTAAGCCAGCGCTCAAAGGTACCATAGTAGACGGATTCTCAGTGCATGTTCTTGAAAAAGTTCCAATTCCCTGTGATAGAGCGAGCCAGTGAGGTTACTAAGCCGTACAGATACTGTGAGACAGTCATGCATGTTGATAGCCTTTCAACTTACATAGCAATCAAAGCAAAGCATACTCCATCTTTTGCCCAGTCTACAAGCGACAATGAGACCCCTTTGCACACTCGCAAACAGAAGTGCAAACAAGACGGCCTCCAGCAAAGGTGTAAACGACAAAAAGATCATCTTCAACCTAATCATGAGTACACTGAATCAGTTGCTGTGAAGGTTATGTGGTTCATGTGCAAAGGGGAAGGCCCACTTAGCCATGGCATGCTCAAACTTCGCCACAGAGCATGGCGAGGAGGGTGACAGGTGTGCCTTAGGACCCTCCAGGCTTCAGGCGTGCAGCACGGAACTCGACCCCAAACACTAGTTAATCCGCTTCTAGGAACAAGTGCATCGCTACTAGCAACAAGTGCCACGCTAGTACTAACAAGAAGCTAGAAGCTTCTTGTTATTACTAGTAAGGCACTTGTTACTAGTAGCGATGCACTTGTTCCTAGACGCACCCGACCTGACCCGACCCGAACCTCCTCGAGGTCGGCGGCCTTTTCGGTGGCGGGCGACGGCAAGGCCACGAACTTCGCGCCCGGCACGGCGCATCGCTTTCCCGCCTGGGGCACCTCGCAGATCGCCGTGATCCCGGCGAACGGGGGAGACAGCTATCCCAGCAAGCAGCTTAGAAGAATGAAGAAGGGAGAACAACACGTGTTTTGCGTCAGAAGGATTCGATAGACGATGGGTTTAAGACGATATGTCTGTCAGATGAGTGGTTTTGGCAGGTGTTTGAGGTGCTCGCTGAGGATATATGATGATCTATGGAGCAAGGATTATTCAGTGATTATTAAAGTGGAAGATGAACTCATCCATGATGTACTGGTATGTCATCATGATGTCATATGGCACGCACTGGCACATGATATGATCAACACTATAGAAATGATATACTTTCAGGACCTTTCAGGAACTTGTGGAACTCTCCACTTAAACCTGACGTCTTTCCCTGGTCCGCCCTCCACTCACGGATGATGAACGCTCGCATGCGGCTGTCGCTTCAGTGCCCACCTCCCGTCCCTCGCCGGGCCGTCGCTCCGACCCTCGGCTCGCCCAAGGAATCCGTGTTTCAGCAAGGCCGCCGCCTCCATCGACACCTTGAGCGCTCGACTGAAGGCCACAACACGGAGCACCTGTGGCAAGACGCCCTCAAGTGGCTTCGATACCAGGCGTGGCATCGCCGGCTCCACACCATGCGGCGCATGTGGGTGGATTGGAATAGAGAGACAGCTCATATCTGACCCAAGGGTTTGATCAGGGGCTTTTCCGCCGAAGAGATCCCTGATGGTCTAGCGTGATCGTGCGGGTAACAGAATTCATCAGAAATAGCAAGGCCAATGTGTTGGTTTGGTTGGCTTGTGATCCATTGACCAGTGTCCTTCCAAGTCATCGTAGTGCTTGTCAGAAACCAACAACACAAGCCCTCGGAGCGATGATGAACAATGAATTACATTCCTAAAACCTATTAAAACCTGTATTTTGAGACCAAAACATGGTCCCATGTCCTATCAAAACAGAGGTCAAGGCTGGTTTCCAGCCCACCATCTCAGTGGTTGGGGCCTGTTAGTGGCTGGGGCATCCACACAAGTGTCACGATCGCATTTTGGAAAAACCGTCTCATCGTCTCGTGTTGTTTTTCTGATTGCGAGGCATCTGCTCTTCACCGTCGACGCTGGGGACAAGTTTCCCAACTATTTGATGCGACGCTCGACTCCGAGGTCTTGGGGGAGGAGACGGAGACCTCCGGATCCTGACAGTGCCAACCGGTGCGAGCGATTCCCAAACGCTACCAGTAGGGCTTCTCAAGCAAATGATGGCAATGGCAACAGATGCACTCGCGCATGTTTGCGCTCTAAGACGTCTAGTGTAGCTCTACTGCCAATATCGTTCTTTGCCTTTGGTCCTGTATGCTTGGCTGATGGCGGCTTGAAGTCTTGTAGGCATGAGACACACGTATTGTTCAAAGGAACTCCAACCTCTCATGACCTCTCTGTTCGACCAACCCGAACCCCCAACATGTCAATCCACGAACATGTTTTGACGATGTTGACAAGATCGAAATCGAAACTTCATGAGATCATACCTACTTAGACGACTTCTTCTCACGTGGCGAGGCATCTCCGGACGGTTCGTTCGTAGAACGTGCTGAGGAGACTACGTCTCTTTGGAGGGCTTGGCCCAGTCATCCGATGGAAGCTTTGGCTATGCATACCAAGGCCAGCCGAACATTCGGAACGGGAGGAATGAGAGGCATCTAGATCAACAAGAAACAAGATATAAAATACAAGATTAATTAGGATCAACAAATGATATACTGCTGAGAAGGTCCCAGGACTTCCCATACCTTTGATCTATTTTGGTCTCCTGGTCTGTTAGAGCTGTGCCACTGACCTCTTGTCAAAGTCAGATGAATCTGCAATGTGAGTTTGCATTTGAGTCTAGTATTTTCAAGTCCAATTCGAAGACGCAAAAGAAAGACCAAAGACAAGGAACGATTTTTTCACCGAACCATACCGAACCATACCGAAGATGCCCAATCGGAGTTTGATTCGGCCCTTGAAACGAAGACCAACCATGGCCGTTTGATTGTTTCGGCCAGCCGCGAGGCCAACGTCGGGCCTATGCCAGCTTCATGGACCTTTGGATGCAGTAGAATAACATCGAGCGAATCTTGATACTGTTCTTTTCAACTTCCCACTTTTTTCCATGGCTGGTCCACACGGTTTCCCACCTTTTTCAACGTTCAACTTTGGATGTCCCATTCGAACTCCGTGCTCCTCATTTACAGCGGACACACTTGACAGTAGCAACTGCACAGAAATATTCCGAAGAATGAAGACAACGTGGTTTTCTCCAAGACTTCCTTCTTTAAATTGATCATCGAATCCAAGCATACTAGTCTTTCCAGATCGCCAACTCCCTTCTCTGACCTCTTCCTTGTCGTTTGTCAGGACGTCGCCACAGGCGGGGGCAACACCGGAGAGATTCCGGGGCTCCATTCGATTTGGGGCTATGGCAATGCCATCAAAGGCCCTGCGGTGGATTTCATCAATGGAGCCTTTGATGATCGATGCCACACACGGCAGGTTGGGGTGGAGTGGTGTGGCGACGTTTGGTGGAGACTCATAGAACGTCTCATAGAAAATTCCAACATAGAACGATGATCTGCTCGTCTCATAGAGCCACATGCCAGACTTTTTGGTTGTTAAAGTTGCTTAAGGTTGGTCAACTCACTTTATTAAAAAATACCTGGTTCATTTTTTTAAAGTGGAGATCCGAGGTTGAACATCCCATTCTATAGAGAGATTATCTCTGTGGATGCCCTTCAAATACTTGCAAGTGTTCAAATAGCTAGGTATCCTTCGACACTTTCCTCTTAAACATTTTGGAGCCACTTCTGGCCATGATGTTCTCTTTGATACGCTTTGTCTCAATTCTGGGCTGAGTCAGCTTGGTCTCGTCGAAGGCGATCAGTTTGCTGAGGATTCGCGCGAAGAAGACCTCATGTTGACTTGTTTTTTTTCCGTCCATCTCATGTCCCAGTCCTACCACCCGAACGCATCTTCTTCCAGTGAACTGTGGGTCGTAGTTTGCGTGGGTTTGTATTCTCGTTAGAGTTTTTTGTACGCGAAGGACACATGGTTTTCCGGATCGCTTAAGGATATGTCTACTTCATCTCGTGTGAGCGCACGGCGCTCCCAGTGATTTGCTCCGAGTACGCTTTGAAACGAGCTCCGCGGTTAGAGATAGGAGATCAGCGAATCGTCGGGGTCAAAAGATATGAAGGCTAGTTGTGGTTGTAAACCCATTGGTATCAATAGTTGGTTTGCAGAAAGTTTGGTTGTTTTGGGGAGACCAGTGCCTTAAACTACGGCAAGTAGACCTGGAGGTTCCTTCATGCCTCACAGCAGCGCAGGAAGAACTCAGCATTTTGAGGTCAGTCTGAGCGGTTGAAGGACCCTGCTTCTCAGGTCAGGCTTTGCTTGTTCGCTCCAACGTTGCAGCAGTTTCACCTAAGAAATGCAGTTTCCAGCAGTCTTTGACACGTGCGATAACATGCTGCAGGGCTCGATATGGCTCCCTAGAATGACATTTCATATTGACATTCACTTGGACCAAAAGCCAGGCCTATGGGGACTCATCCCTTCCACCTATTAAAAACACGGGCCCCCCTCCAATAAGGAAACCTCGGTCGCATTTTTTCTAATAGGGGGTCCCTGAAATCGGGTGGTCCAAAATAGGGTCACCTGGAAAGAGTTTCAAAACCAAAAAGTAATCCAGGAACATTTTTTGTAAAAGCATTTATTAAACTCGTATCAAAAATGCAAAAGACCTCCAGATCGAAGGGTCTTCCTTTTCCCCTACAAAAACCTTCATTAAAATAGTGATTCTTGAGTAGACTAACAGCTAAAGCTTTCGAAAGTTGATGTCGCTGTGCCATGCCGTGTTGCATGACCTCGGTGGCAAGTGCGTTTGCGTGAGTCCGTGCCATTGGGGGAAGGAAAGCCTGCTGGTGTAAGCGCGGCGTGTCATGGTGGATAGACAGGGCGGACAGAGGTGGGCAGTTACGGTTGTTTTTGGAACCTAATAAGAAAAACCCTCCAAAATCGGCCATGTTGGTAGTTTAGTAGCGGCTTGAAAGGGCGGTAACTTAAAAACAAAAACCGTATTTAGGGGGATCCGTTTTTAAATAGGTACTCGGGATTAGTGATTCACCAACTCGATGTTAAACATACTTGCCTGGATCTTCCAACTCTTCAGAATTCCAGCCTCTTCATCTACAAAGCCAGCCATTTTTGTGTGGCAGAACAGGTCTATCCTGTAAAACCTCCCAAAAGCTGGTCGACCCGATCCACACTCGACCGGAGCGAGTGAGGTTCCCATCAGCGCTTTGGAGGCTGCGGCAAAGGTACCAGATCCCATCGACTGCAAAGCCAGTGGCGTGAGTTGCCCCCATTCCGGGCCTACACAAGTCCTGGATGACCGCCAGGTTGGGGTTGCCCAATGTTAGCCCAAAAAAGGACCTAAAAACAAACAAGATTAAAACTTAAGTGTGTAATCTTCCATCACCTTCGAAACTTAATGCGTAATCCGTCTCACTTGTTTGCTGTCCGTCGACTAGGCCGTCATTGCGGCTGCCACTGAAGTGCTCTACACCCAGACGACGCAACTCTTTCCGGGTCCCGACGATACGGTGCCACAGCAGATGAAGTTGGCCATCGATCCGGAAGCCGAGACCTGGTTTTGCAAAAGAGCCGGTATCCGATGAGTTAGTTCTTTTTTTCTGCATTTTCCCTACTAACTCATACTAACTCATGAAATCCTCTCTGGGGAAGATCTTGTCTTTTTTGTCCAGGTTTCTTAAGAACATCCAAGGAGATCATCTACTGGTTAGCTCCACAACCCTCCAGCGGCTACATCTCTCTCCTGTGTCCTGACAAGGAATAAGGGACTCCGGTTTTGGGGGAGAGATGAGGAGAGGAAGATCGAGAACCCGAGCGAAGCCATTTTGGAAGGGGGGAGGGGGACAGATCCACACTAGCATGGCCTCCCAAGCAGCATGGCCATGTCTTGGCGATCCACGCATTGAACATAGTTATAGTTGTCATCTCGATTTGGGAGGCTCTTTCAGGCATGAGGTGGCGAGAGTTTCTAGCAGACTCCACTGATTGGGCTAGGTGAGACAGAGAGAGTAGGCTTCAGAGTCCGAGTTGAAAGCAGATGGCAGAGTTTTATATCTGGGGCTTTTGGCATTTTCAGGTGCGTGCGGAGGTGTGGACGTTGGGTATATGTCAATAATTAATGTTCCGTTCCGGCAGGGTTCATCCCAATTATGCTTGAAGCCAGCTGTGTGGGGCATCCAACCACTGACAGTCAATGCCCTTCTACAGTACTGGCACATCTTCGTCAGGATGTTCGGCATTTTCAGGTATCTCTATTGTCCTTTGCCTAGAACCCCATTTGACATCCCTTTATATCGGACAAGGCTCGCCACAAGGGTTGGCTCAACATCCAGCTCCAATCCACTCTCAATTGGTACCAGAACTCTCCGACTCGTCTACCGACCCTTCGACTCGCGGGGGACAAGTCCGCACGACCGTTAGGTACCTGGACATCAAAGGGTGGGACTCCTCGAAGCCGAAGTTCGAACCCTGCGACGTGGGCGAAGTGGCCGGGCACTACGCCTACGGCAGCTGGTGGCTGAGCGAGATCGGGCAAGCGTGAGCGTTCGTTCGCGTTCAGTTCGACTATGGGGTTCGCAGAGTTCGCGTGCGACGGCGGGAACGGGTGGGGAGGAGGGGTGGGGCATGTTCAGGATCGATGGAACGTCCTCGGAATCCTTTCAAGAGGAGGTTCTCCTACCCGTCCGATCATCCCGAAACCTCCCACCAATCCATGGAATATTTGCCTACAATTGGGATAAAAACGTCTTAAAGATATATGACCAATGAATGAATATATGAATATTCCATACACGGACGATTTGGGATTAAGGACGGCACGACCGATGTCGGTGCCTCGACACCTGAGGGGGAAAAAACCGAGGTCGACGTTGCAAGTGGCCTGTGATGGAACCGTCATGAGTCACGAGGTGGATGTGATCAAGACCTTGGAACCATGGCGAGTCGACCGCACCACGCGTGGGGGCCGGGCACTTGCTTGTTGCAGACTGGTTCCTGACATACTTAAGTTGGATGAGCTGGGTCGCTGGGAAGGGCTTTTGGGGATGAAAGCAATTTGGCAGGTTGGCAGGTTGGTTTGCTCGGCAGAATTTTGAATTTCCAGCTGTGAGATGACTTGCCAGGATTGGGAGGGCTATGCTTTCATAAGATGACACCATTTGGGCTTAGTACAGTCACATGCAGGGTGAAAGATCCAAGAGGCAAAGCATTGCAAAAAGAGTCAACACCAAGCAGCATATAATATATATGATGCTTGGTGACCACCTGTATCGAATTCTTTGTGCACATTTCCATGTTCACCAACGAACCAACGTCAGATGACTGCAACGGGGGTCATTCGCTTTCAGACCTGGCTCAGACTCAGCTGCGGAAAACTCTCTCTATATCTCTCGATCCGCAGTGCAAAGGCACCCAGACCTTCCATGTATTCGAAGACTAACTTCTTATAGTGGTCCCCAAATGGATAGAAGCGGTTTCCAATCTTTGGGGATCTGCTTTTCTATCTATTTGACGATATTACATGGACGGTGTGGGGTACATGAGAACACCGACCCATGGTGAGCCACCGACCCGTGGTGAGCCATCACTCTCGGCCTCCGGTGGTTGGACTGCCCACCCAGCAGGGGACCGGGGCCCAGGATTTCACCAACGACGCCATTGTGGCTGAATGTCGATCGCAGGCTGAAAGAGAGAGCGTTTCGAAGTGTTGGATTATTGCAGACTGCATGAATGGCAGCAGATCAAGGATCGCAGCTGGTAGAACGTGGCACCCTTGCAAGCATAAGTTATTCGTGCTATTCTGACTCTTCAATGTGTTTGGGAGAGGTGGCGTGCTTGTCAGAGTACACCAAGGTTACGTGGTGTGTGTGATCTGATACAGGCTTTCCTTGATGCCCAGAGTTCAACGACCCGGGCGAGACAGATGGTCATCTCCCCCGGCTCCAAATACCGTTTCGGTAAGGTGTTTGGGGTGGGTGCCAAGATGGTTAGCCGGTTAGTCCGTACCTTCAATGTACAATGCCCTAAACATCCTAAACCTCACAGCTAGCACTTCTAACGGGTGCCCTGTCTGGAGACCTTTCAGTAGGGTATACGGCAGTCTATTGAACACCCATGATCCATTGGATGACCCTGGCACCCTTTCTTCTCTCATCCCCATCGCCCTTTTAGCCACTCTTCTCACCCCGCAGGCGGCCACCTGGGCCGATCTCCCTGCAGACTCGCGCCCGGGGTGGAAGGGGTGCTGGACGCGCTGGATGACGCCGGGCTGCGGGGTCAGCGCCACTGGGTCCTGCGTGCTGAAGGCGGGCAGGGCGGGCAGGGCGGGCAGGGCGAGTCGCACCGAGGGCCGGAGATCCGGGTGATGCGCCGAGATGTCTTGGGTAACTGAGTGTTCTGTGATGTGTACGTGAAACGACGCAGTAATTATACGGATGATTTAGGGTTGAGTGTATGACATCACGGTGCTGGTGACTGCTATAAATTAATTGGGACAACACATATAAATAAAAGAGATGTCGCACACATCACGACGGCGTTCAACGAGCTTTTCTCAGACCATGACCTATGACCCCAAGCGGGACGAAGTCTACTACGCCTTCCGCGAGAGCACGGTGAAGGAAAGCATCAGTCGCTTCAAGCGCACCGAAGGCTCCAAAGGCGCGGGAATTCGGTTCGACACGCTGCGAACCGGTGGGGTTCACCGTCGCGGTGGTACGGACGGTCCGCGCAACTCGGACGAAATGTTGGTGAGCCTCTTTGGTTTTCGAAGGATTAAGAGCAGAAAGCCCACTTTTTCGAAAGAAAGCCGAAGCTTGGACCACTTGGCGCTGAACGCACATGCCTTTTCTCTTTGGGGGGGCGAAGCCGTGATGGTTTCGCCATCTGCGTGAGGCGTGGGGAATGATGAGGTGGTCTACTCTGGAATTTTCTATGAGCTCCCGGATAGCAGTCGATGATTCAAAGGGCCGGTGAGAGTAGACGGCTAGTGATGGCGATGATCACAGACTCGGACAAGTCCGCCGTCTTCCCGTCTGAAGGTGATTCCAAAGAGTTGGATTAATTATGTTGCATTACAGTATATACCTGTAGATCTTCATAGATCTTCCAACTGCTACAACATTTCTGCCATTTGGCTTGGTTTTATAAAAAGGCAGACATTTTGCATTGTTGGAAGATCTATATATAGTAGATATCTTCCGATCGGAGTGAATCCAGCCACTTTTTAGCTTGACTCGAGTGAGAGAGACGCCACGTCGCTTCATTTGGCCCAGTCTCTTCGAAGTCAGCGGCTGCGGGTTCCACCCGTTTCTCCCGGTGGAACCACTTCGGCCCGAAGCTTTGCCCGGTGGAACTCGCTTCTGCCCAACGGTCCGTCGCCGAGTCTGAGGTTCCCACCCCGCGCCGACAAAGGAGCTGCCTTTATCGCAGGCCTCGCGGTGGATTCGCTCAACGAAATGATTTATGTGGCTCGGCCACGGAAGAGGATGGAAAGGCTCGAAGGATGGAACGGGTGCGCCCAGTGAGGTTTCAGGATGTGTTGGGTGTTGGGCGTATTGGAGGTGTTCCATGGGATGGATCATGGACCTCTGGCAGGTTGAACTTGATGCCTCTTGGCTGGTTTAAAGAAAAAAGCCTTGGCATCGTGCTGAGCTGAATCTCCAGGGGTTCACCTCGTCGTGGCGGAGTCTAAGGTAGCGAATTACTATGGCAATTCTGCCCAGCAATCCGTGGCGATGCTGCCTTTGCCCGAGAATGCCAACTATCCAGGTCGGGAAAAACCGGTGAACAATGCGTAGGGGCTGGCCAGTTGGGAAGGTGTAAGCTTCTAGTCAGACATGACGAATGGGACTGAACATTTACCTAGGTAGGCTGTATACCCTGAACCAGTCCCAATGTATGATATAACATGAATAATATGCCACAGATGGAGTCTCTGGGCTAGGATATCTCCCTCAGTTTCTTTATCCAAAATGTGTTTTCGTCCGCTGGTGCATGTTCCTTCCACCTAAGAAGGGATTGCTGAAGCACACCTGGTTTTTGTCGAGCATGTTTGGTTTGATTTCTTATATCCAAAGATGCTCTCAACCAGGTTTGCCTCAATGTCAGGTCTGACTTCAAAACATCTCCTCATTCTCACTCGCGGTTCTTGGTATTTCATGGTTCTTCTCCAGGATCCAATCAAGAAGTGCATGCCAGCTACTGGCCCATGGACTTGGTCAACGACACAGATGCACCCATCGCCTGCCTCTACGGGCATGAGTCGATCCCTCACTCCTCGGGCTACGGCAACCGCAAGTGTCACCGGGACAGGAACGAAAACGGTGGGGAACGCGACCGGTGGAGGTGCTGACGCTATTAGGTTGGTAACGTTAGCTTCCTACGGGGCCCGGGGCGCTAAAATGGCATCGCGAAAGAACGTCACAGGCGGGCATTCCTACTAATGAGTGACCTTGGTGATTTGCGTGGAATTGGCCCTCGAACTGGCTGGGATACAACATGTATACCTACTAGACACTTAAAACATATTGAACATGTAGCTAGCTTTTATGCCTCATATATATTACATCATTATTTTTCCCCAACAGCGGAAGCTTGGGGTCTCAGCCAAACTAGGCACTGGGGCACTGTGGGGCAGTCATCCGGTGAGGTTCCCTGAGGTTCCGAGTGAAGGTTCCGAGGTTCCAAGTAAAGGTTTCCAGTCAAGGTTCCGAAGGTTCCGAGGTTCCAAACGAAGGTTCCGTGTCAAGTGTCCAAAAAGTTCCAAGTGAAGGTTCCAAGTAAAGGTTCCGAGTGAAGGTTCCGA